GCTCCCTGCAGTGCCGGACCGCACAGGTAAGAGGTGGGCAGGGCGGCTCCAGGCGGGGTATTCCCTGCACTCCCGCTGGCTCCTTTTGTGAGGGGCATTGCCTTGACCGTGGGCCCCGAGCGTGGCTGTGGATGGCTGCTTTTGGCTGGGCTTCCGCAGGAAGATGCCTGGCGTGGCCAGTGCTCCGGTCCCAGGCTCCGGGCAAGGGGCTTGCTCCACCTCAGGCTTTCCGTGCATGGCTCAGCCCAAGCACGTGGGGTGGCAAGCCCCCTGAGGAGGCTACTGGGGGGCAAGGGGCTGGCTGGCGGCCCTTTACACACAGATGGGGGCACCCACAGAGCCGTGCAGGACCGGGATGGTGTCCTGGACCGATGCTTGTTATGCCCCTGGCATTAAGAGGAGTCTCCGTCCACTGCGTTGGTACCAGGAGGACCAGCTCTGTGACCCCAAGGTCAATGCCGCCGCCGGCCTCAGCTCTACTGCCACCGCGGGACCAGACCCGCTGCCCCCAGGGTCCTGGCAGGGCTTTGTGGGGTGCAGCGCAGCACACCCACAAAGCCCCAGCACACCCACAGCACAGCGGGGCAAGGGTGCTCTGGCTAGGGAAGGCTCAGGCCTAGGGTCTTGGGATCCCGGTGTGCACAACGCGGCCCACAGCAGTCGCTGCACCCCTCTCCGCAGTCAGACCGGCCCCTCCGGCCTCTTCCATGTTGCATGCCCAGGGAGTTGAGGTGACAGGAGGGAAAGGGCTGCGGAGATGGGCAAGAGATCTTCCCAAGGGAGGCCCTTCTCTGGCTGACAGCAGGGTGCCTTGGCGGAGCATCTCCCCACCACGTCCCCAGCCTACCTGTGCCTCCGCTGCCCTGCACCCAGCACCCATCTTCTTTCCACTCTACAGGATCAATATGGGTAAGGGTCTCTGGGACACCCTGGGCCTGGGCTTGGCCCTTCTCATCCTGGCTCGGGAGATGGCAGTGGAAGCGGAGGCTCCCCACAACTGCTACGGGACCCCTGGGCTGCCCGGCAATCCCGGCATGCCAGGCAAGGATGGCAGAGATGGACAGAAAGGAGCCAAAGGCGAGCCAGGTAAGTGCCCCATGGCAAAACTCACCCCATGAGGGCCAGGAGCACCTGGGAGAGCCTCAGCGGCTGTTTGAGGCCGACAGATCTCAGCAGGGGAGGTCTGTACCCCTCCGGTCGGACACACTTGGAGGGACAAAGCCCAGGGCCAGAGGAGGGGGCAATCCTGCTGCCCAGGGCTCCCATGCACGGGGCAAGCACGGTCGGAGCAGTGCCAGCAACTCCATGCCAGGTCCTTCCTGGAGCAGCCCAGCAGCTGCAATGAGGTGCGCTCAGTGCCCGGGCGCTGGACCTGAGCCGGGAGGGTTATCTGCCCTTTGCAGACCCGGGAGCAGTAGGGAGCTGTCCCAGTGCACGGAGCAGACAGGGCCTTTCCTCTGGTCCTGCTGCTTGGTCCTAACCGAGTCCTCTGGACCCCACAGGCATCCCAGCCATTCCCGGGACCCAGGGGTCCAAGGGGCAGAAAGGAGACCCTGGCATCCCTGGCCTGCCTGGGAAGACTGGTCCTATGGGCCCCGCTGGCACCCCGGGAGACCCCGGGGAAGCGGGCTTGGATGGAGAGCCTGGCGATCCTGGCAGCTACCGGCAGAGGCACCAGGTGGCATTCTCCGTGACCCGGCAAACACCCCAGCACCCGGCCAAGAACACCCCCGTGATCTTCAACCGCGTCATCACGGACATCAGCAACGACTACAGTATCACCACCGGCAAGTTCACCTGCCGGGTGCCAGGCGTCTACTACTTCACCTTCCATGCCTCCCTGACTGCCAACCTCTGCGTCATCATGTACAAGAACAGGGAGAAGGTGGCCAGCTTCTGCGACCACATCTCCAACAGCAAGCAAGTCAGCTCCGGAGGCATCCTCCTGAAAATGGAGGCTGGGCACCAAACGTGGCTGGCCGTCAACGACTACAATGGCATGGTGGGCATCGGTGGCTCTGACAGCGTCTTCTCTGGCTTCCTGCTCTTTCCAGACTAGGTGACCTGGACAAGCCTGGGCAGATGCTGGCTGACTGCAAACATGCCAGCCTCTTTGCCTTGCAATGCACCCCTTGGCTCGCACCCTGCCCCGCGCTGACTTGGAAGTGGACCCAGGTCTCTGCTCAGGTTTCTACCCAGGGCCTGGCAGCCTCCGGGAAGGGCTCAGAGCCCTGCATGCTCCCAGAACAATCCTGCCCAAATGCAGAAACAAGCCAAGGCCCTGGGGTTGGAGCGTGTGTAGCTCAAGGGCCGTCAGGTGTGACACATGGGCCCTGCCTAGCAAGAAGCCAGCCCATAAAAGCTCCCTTGCTACTGCTAAACCCAGCCACACCTAATTACTACTGTGCTCTTTGCATTCGTTAACCCCCCTTCTTTCAAGCGCTGAAGGCACCCCTGGGGTCTCTCCACCTAACCGAGAGGGTCACAGACTACGACCAGATGCGGCCTGGGGGGAACTGGAGGGGAAACTTTTTCCCGTGGTTCATCTGCGCAAGCGCTGAATAAATCCTTTTCTGCACCAGGCAGTTGCTATCTTGTGTTTGTCTGAGCCCAGCGTGTGTGTGTGCATGTACACACGTTACGTGTGCATACACATGTTTGTGCGCATGCGGTGGCACCAGTGTCCACAGCCTGTGGTTGAAGGGGTGGGTGGGCACAAGTGGGGGAGACCGCCTTGTTTCAAAGCCAAAAACAGCGCAGCTGAGGGTGGGCAGGACAGCGGTGCAGCCTGGAACAGGCCAGTTCCTCGGCTGGGAGCTCAGACTGGAAATCCAAGAAAAAAAAGCCATATTTGAGGTCAAACCAAACCCATTTCTTTGTCCTGAATTTTTGGCAAATCAAAACCTATTTGTTTCGGGTGGAAGAAAACTTTCACTCAACCTAAAGCGAATTGTTTCACGTTCAGGATTATATATATATTTTTTAAAATAAAAATACAGAGCTGGATTCTCAAGGGGCCGGAGGCCAAGGGCACGTGACCAAGGGGACCCAGGACAAGTCTGGCTGTCCTGGTCTAGAAACAAGTAGTGAGCACAGGCCAATGCGATGTATCCCCAATCGTTTGGGGCAGATTTTCCCTCTGGAGGACTCGGTGCTCTCCAGGATGAGCTGCTCTCAGCCTCTCCTACTGATGCTGTTTCATCTTGTATAAAATAATCATTAGTTGAGAGAGCAGAGCCCAGATGTCCCACTGGCCAGGCACGTGCCCTCACTCCATATCCGGCCTACAAAATCTCTCACCGTTCAGTATTAAGTGGAACGGCTTCAGAAAGAGATGCTTCCCTTTGGGCACTGCACGGGGGCAACTGAGCTCAAACCCCTGCTGCGAAACAGAGGCACCCGGTCCTCGTGCAGGTGAAGAGCATCCCTACCCAGCAGCAGGACAAAGGATGTTGCTCCCTTGTTTCTTCACCTGGAGCCATTCCCCAAACTGGACCCAAACTAGCAGTCCTAGGGGAGCCAACACTGCATTTTTCAGCCATTTGCCAAAACAAAAATAATATTCCCCCAGGTCTATACATCTGCTTGACTTCAGACTAGCCCGGCTAACGCCATCTCTGCCCTCCTGCGCACAGCGAGAGGCCGGGAGGAAGGACGAGCTAACACGGAGCTGGAGGGGGGACATTCATTGTGGTCCCTGGGCTGCTTCCCTGCACCCACTGCCGGGCTCTCGGCCTCCCCCAGCCCAAAGACCCTGAGCACGGCGGAGGGTGCGCACTCAGCGCTGCGTGTGACAAGGTAGGCATGGCTCCTACTGGGAAGAGGAGCTGGTGGCTGTGTCAGCCAGCAAGAAGAGCAGGTAACAGCTGCCCCAGGCCCTGAGCCGGCTTCTTAATTTTCCCCCCAGACATGAGAAAGCGCAGGCAGCGTTTTAGGAAGTGAAACAGCCGGTCCCACCAGCCTGCCGCCATGGTCCGGCGTGCAGCCGTGGCTGAACATGGACTGGCTGCAACATCACGGGGCTGACCCGTGACGGACTGACCCGCCGATGCCACAGCGGCTCTGTCCTTACTGTTTTGTCAGATTAGGGCTCTTTTATCCTTGCAACAGAAGGATAAATCTGGATTTTACCCTGGGGCTTCTTGGTGCAGAACAGCCTGGTCCCTTGTCTGAGGGCTCCTTGTAACCCTAACAGCATTTGAACATGCGTGCCGTGGTGGGAAAGGGCAGGCAGTGGGGCCACGAGCTGGCGGCACACAGAGGGGACAGCCCAGGGCATCTCCTGGCCATGTGCTGCTCTGGGCGGGGGCCCAAACCCATGCACGAAGGATGCCGAGCAGCCACGTGGGCACGGGGTGCTCTGCTGAGCCTGCAGAAAGCACTTGCGGCCCGCCGGGAATGACAGAGGAAGCGAAAGTGTCTGTGCAGGGGGGACAGGAGCTAAAGATAAAAAAGGGATGTGACCAGGCCCTGTCCCAATGCTCAGGCCTTCCCGCTTGCAGCAAACTTCCTCTTCCCCCCTCCCCATTTCCAAGCAGGAGGGTGACGCCTCCCGTGCCCGGCTCCCCGTCAGTGCTGCAGACGCCGCAAGGTAAGTGCCGGACCCCTCACAGCATGCTCCAAGAGCCAAGAGAGAGCCGCGTGCTTGGAAGCCGCAAGGCTACGCGGAGCCATCTCCCTACGGGGCTGCACGGGGTGCCAGGACCCCGTGTCCCCACAACTGGCCTTCACTTCAGCCTCGAAGGCACACACTGTGCCCAGTGGGTCCCGCCTGGCACTGGGCAGGGTGGTCCTCAACGTGGTGGGTGTCTGATCGGGTGAGAGGACGCTGCTCTGCCAAGGGCCGGCCTTTTTGAGGGGCAGCCTGTCGTGCCGCAGTGTTTTGGGGTCCGGCAGGTGCCGGGATCTTGTGCAGTAGGAACAGGAGATACCATTGCATCCCGTCGGTGCGTCTGGTCACACGTGGGAGGGAGGTGCTGGAGCTGGTGGGGCACGACGGCAGATTTGGGTTGCATAGTAGGGAAGTGTAAAGCCCTGGGACAGCCGGGCTGGAAGAAATGTGCAAGTCACATCACCGGAGGTTTTTGAGCCAGAGGCGGTTTGCACGCCCTGAATCCTGCCTCCGAGCAGGGAGCGGGCGAGCTGACTTCGGTGATTTCCGCAGCGGAGGGAGCTCACGGGGCTCAGGGAGGCCGAGTGGGAGAGACGGCAAAGCAGAGCTGTGCGCTCAGCTACGTGCCCCGATGACAAGGCTCATTAGACGGTGGATCCTCCTCGGGGCAGCCCTGGGCCCAGGCAGCGAGAGAGGCTTGTCTTTTAGGTTCACAAGGGCTGAATTCTGCTTCCAGTTACGCCGGTGTGAACTCAGAGCAGTTCCTGTACAGCCGCTGTAGTTGCTGAAGGTGTAAATCTGAGAAGGAGCTGGCGCTAAAGGTTGCGGGTGCCTGAGTAAGCAAGGGAGCTCTCCTCCGCCCGGCAGCCCCGGTGTCACTGGAGCCCAGGGCGGTGGGAGCCACGGACGGCACCGGTCTGAGCCATGCCAGGGAGAGCAGTGCGGGGCTTTCCCCTGCTGCTCTCTACTCTGCAGAGCCAACGTGGCACAAGAAGAGGGCTCTGCTGCCTCGTCTCCTCTCCCCCCGGCACCCGGGCTGCAGAGCAGCTCTGTCTGTCTGCCTAAATGTCACTGGGGCCCGAGCTCGGAGACCTCGACTTGCCGAGCGAGTGAGAGTCCTCTCCTGCATACGAGGTACACCTCCCTCTGCAGCGGGGCGATTGCACCCCGCTTCCCTTCCCAGAGCATACCCCTGGATTTCCTCGTGGCACCGCACACATAACTTCCAGGGCAGACAGATCACACAGGACAGAGCAGTCCTCAGCACTCGGATCAGCAAATTTTACGGCCTTCCTACAGCCCCTGTAACTCTGCTGTGTCCTTTTGCCTTCCAGCACCACGGCCAACATGCAGGCGGTGTGGGTGATGCTCATCTGCCTGGCTGCAACGCCAGGGGCCAGTGCCAGTACCTGCAAGGGCGTTGCGGCAATCCCAGGACTCCCCGGTGTGCCGGGACGGCCCGGCTCCAATGGCAGAGATGGCGAGAATGGCCATAAGGGAGAGAGAGGTAAGACGCAGGCCGGGGACTTGTTGGCTGTATTGCAACCTCGTGCAAGGGCAGCTTCAGTGTGAAGTGCAAGGCCAGGCATTCACCCCCTGGACAGGCCCTGCTGCTGGGCCTGGGGTTTCGTCCCGGACACCCAGGGCGTTAGCAGCTACCAGCCTGGATGCTCTTTGGTTAGTGGGCAGCTTGCAGCTTCCAGTAAAGGACCTGGCCCATCATAGGGACAAGGAATGGCACCCCCAGCTCAGCTCTGGGGAGAACACCAAGAGGTGGGGATGAGAGAGGCAGGGAAGTGGGGAGTCTGAGAAGAGCTGCCTGATGGCGGGGAATGGATGCAGGTCACCGGACACGCGGGATGCAAGGGCCCAAGGGCAAGAAGAGCAGCTACATAACCGTGGCAGACAGGGTGGCCGTGGGAGAGCCAGGAGGGGTCCGTGGCGTGTGTGCTGGGGTTGCAGGAGTAGCTGCACTAGTGGGCAGTTTAAGGGGAAATGCTGATGTAAAGCAGGCCGAGAGTGTGCCTGGCCCCATCCCCTCCTAGCAAGTGGCTGTGTACCATGACAAGGCCTTGGGGGTCGTCTCACACCTTGGCAGGTAAAGGGTGATATGAAGCTACCAGCTATCGTGGGTCTTCTACTCACGGTTCCCGTTTCCTCGCTCCCCAGGTCCGCCCGGCCAGACGGAGGATCAAGCAGAGCTGGGGGAGAAAGGAGACGCAGGACTCCCAGGCTTCCCTGGGAAAGTCGGCCCCAAGGGCCCTGCCGGTTCTAGGGGTGCTCCGGGCCCCAGAGGTGCTCTTGGACGCAAGGGTGAATCCGGGGACTACAAGACATCCCTCAAATCGGCCTTCTCAGCTTCCAGGACCATTAACATGCTCCCCCGCCGGGACCAGCCCATCCGCTTCGACCGCGTCATCACCAACGAGAACGGCCACTACGAGAACAGGTACGGCCGCTTCACCTGCAAGATCCCGGGGCTCTACTACTTCACCTACCACGCCACGTCCAGGGGCAACCTCTGCGTCAACATCAAGAAGGGCAAAGGGAACCGGGGGGAGAAGGTGGTGACCTTCTGCGACTACGTGCACAACACCTACCAGGTCACCACGGGCGGCGTGGTGCTGAAGGTGAAAGCAGACGAGTCCATCTGGCTGGAGCCCACCGAGAAAAACTCCCTGGTGGGAATCGAAGGGGCTGACAGCATCTTTTCGGGGTTCCTGCTCTTCCCTGACAACTAGCAGCCCCGGGAGGGTCAGTCGCGGGCTCCCCACGGCGTATGCATCAGCCAAACTATCTGCTCTGCAGCCTGCTAAGACCCTGCCAGGCACCGCGCAGGCTGGAGACCCGGGCTCTGCTCCGAGCTGCGCGGGTGCTCCGTTTGCCAGGCTCATCGCACCAGGCTCTGCATCGTGTTGTGTTGTGCACCCGTCTCACTGCTTGGACTTGCTCCTGGCTCATCCTCTGCTTCAGCAAGCAGCTTCACAGCAGAGATTGTGGAAACCACTGCCCCAGGAGAGCTATTGCAGAGTCTCAGTGCAATGCCCACGACTCCCGAGGTGGTTCATCCTCTCAGCCCATCTCGAGGGGACTGGTGGGCACTGTGCAGTGGACTGCATCCTTTGTTGGGGTGGGGTGGCCCACTCAACTGTGCTGGCTGCTTTTTCCACTATAGTGCCTTGCATGCTAGCAGCCACGGCAGTGTGCTTCCGGTTGGACTCCCCTGAGCTCCTGCCTGGCACAGTGCTTCAAAGCAAGCTTTCCACTACAGCGCCTTGCATGCTTGCATGCTTGCATGCTTGCAGCCACGGCAGTGTGCTTCCGGTTGGACTCCCCTGGGCTCCTGCCTGGCACAGTGCTTCAAAGCAAGCCCTCTGCATAATGCTGACCTTTGCAGTGCAGAAATGCCACCTTCTTTGACCAAGGTCAAGGCATCTCTGGCCTGGAGCCAGCCTGGGCAGTGCTGTGAGAGGCTCCTGTCTCCAGTCCAGAGAAGGATTCTCCACCCCGTCCTCAGCCTGCAGCTTTCATTTGGCTTCTTCTTGCTCCTGGCGGATGCTACCCTTTCAAATAAGCAAAACCAGTAACAGAAAAGGGTCCCAGAAGGTCTAGCCAGGTGGGAGTCCTTCTGGCAATGGGGATTACCCATCATGAATGCCAGTGTGAAAGTCACGGGACAGTAGGAAAAGACCACACCATCAGAGCCCGTGGTGGACATTTAGAGGCCCCCTCCATCCCCTGCCTCTCTGGACGTAGCGAGACCTGGCTGTGATGTACTCAGGCCTTTGCGCTGCAGAGCAGTGATGTGAACCGGTGTAAGGCACAGTCCCCAGGAGGGACCAAGCCCGGGACCAACGTGGGACTGGGACTCGGAAAGATCTGGATTTTGCTTATCAGCTGATCCTGAGGATGCTGAATGAAGCGGGCCTGACACCGTGCGGCTCCCTGCCGCAGCCGGCAGGAGAGAGGAAGTCTCCGGCTCTGCCACGTCCGTGAGGACACAAGTAGGCCCTGGCCAGCATGGTGCTGGGTCCCTGCCGTCTTCCTGCAGCTGGTGCTGCTGTCCCGGGCGTTGCGCATGCTAACGTGGGTCTCATTCTTTGCCAGGGCCCCTGCTGAGCAAAGCTAGTCAATAAATGCAATGTTTGCTATTGATTTTGTTGTTCTGTTTTAGCCAGCAGGTTGCCTGACAGTGCGTCGGCTGTGATCTGCGGGCACCAGTGGGGAGGGGAAGTCCTGGACAGCCTCTAGCACCTGGCTCAGTAAACAGAGATGTGATTGCATCCACGGGGCAACTGCCCATCTTCTCAAGCAACAGACCTGGCCTCTGCCTCCCTTTTGGCTCCTCTTCACCCCTCTGGGTCCTTGGCCGGGGTCTGCAACCTTGGGAGACAGCAGGGAGCTTGAGATGTGCTCCTGCCCTGCTGAGATGGGCCCGGACAGCCCCGGCACCTGCTGTTTCTTGGTGCAACTGGGGCTGCAAACACAGCACCCCTCCTCCCCAGCAGGACACGGGGAAATCCAGCTTTGGGGGACAGACATCTCTGAGGCAAACAACGAACAGACCTAAAACCGCCTAAAACACAGGTTCCCGACCTTGCCGCACGTCAGAATGAGACCTTGCCGACCGGGGCCCTCGAGGCTGGGGGAGGGCAGTAGATGGGAGCCATCCCCATATGCCCTTTGGTGATCACAGGGCTTGGCTTGGTCTGGGATTGGGGAGCTGTGTGAAGCTGTTTGTGCTGAAATAGGTCTGGACCTTCATAAGCCGGATGCTGGGGACTGAGAGCATAGATCCAACTCCTCAGGCATGGATCTGGTTTGCTCGGTTACCGATAGATAGATAGATAGATAGATGATTTTCTCTCTCTGCAGCAGGCTGAGGTTACCCTAACACAACCTAGGAACCATGACCCAGAGTTAACCCTTGCCTGAAGTGATGTAACTGTAAGATGCTGGGAGTGCACGAAGCGAGAGCAAACGAGCCTCAGCTTGCATTTTAAGTGCCCTTAGTGTGATCCAAGACAAGTGCAATGAATAAATTCACTCTTAGGCGAAAGCTCCAGCGTAGATCTCAGCCGTGTACCAGCAGGTGACACCAGAGAGTCAGTCTGGAGGCTGCTCCGCTCCATCCATCCCTGCACAGAAGGGATGACGGGCTGTAGCCTGGGCCCGTGCAGAGCGTTTCACACCCAGCAGCTTTGCCGTGCCCTTGGCCAGGCCCTACAAGGCAAGGAGCTGTCGCCCATCTGAGAGACGGGCTCTCGGGGCGTGGGGCCCAGCTCCCAGCAGAAGGCGAGGTAGGAGGTGGGACACGATGCAGAGAGCTTGCTTCACGGCAGCGCGGCCACACACAGCCCACACAGATGTGCACTTGGTCACCTCCCAGGATCCGCAGAGTCCTGCTCATCTGCTCAGGCCAAAGCCATGATGGCGGACACCTGGATTTGATTTAGCAATGACACAAAGCAACCTCCATCTGCACAGGTGCCCGGTCCCCTCACCTGCCAGGGACAGGCTGCTGGTTAGCCTTCTAGATGGGCTGCAGGTTATCTCAGGCAGCAACAAGACGGAGACGGGGTGGCAGGCGGACTGCAAACGGGTGGGGTTTTGGGGTGAGGATAAATCCAAAGAGTGGGAGCGATCGGCAGGGGATCTCAGGGGCTCAGGCCATGCCTACCTCCCCCAGAGGAGATTGAATAGGTGCTTCTCTGTCTTCCCAAGGCATGAGGCTGCAAGGTCGACAAAAGCCAGACGCCTCCCTGGTGCTCCCTGGGCCCGGGCTGCTGCCCTGCGCATGTACAAGTCGCTGGATCAGCAGGATGGAGTCGAGTTCAGCGGGGAAGGCGCTGGTCTCCAGGAGCAAGGCACAGGCTACTACAGACCTGTCGTCCAGACCCGCTTCTAGCCAAGCCTGTTAGAAACCCCCCGGCAGGCCCAGCAAAGCTATGTGTTTTAAAGCCTCTTCCCCTCCCAAACCTCTGCTCCCCAGGGACAAATGCAGCGTGCCAGTAGTGCACCTTGCGTGGGACGCTCCCTCCAGGTCTGGGGTCACATTCGATCCGAACAGGAGAAAAAGAAAAAAACCCTTGCCCTAAACCTGGTGGCTGGGGCTGTAATGGGAGCAGGAGCTATCTGTGGCTCTGAGCTGCTTGCACTTTGAACAGGGAGGATTTCTTTTTCTCTGGACAGACCCAAATACCTGCTTCTGCTCCAGTCTGTGTCCTGCTTTCTGGTCCAAAGGGAATCACTGCTCTGCCTGTCCCCCTTACGTGCGTATGCCAACGGCATCCGGGGCAGCAGCTAGGAGCGCTGGCAGCAGATGGAGGGCAGTGATTCTTCCCTCTGTTCATCACTGGGGAGGCCACATCTGGAGTCCCGTGTCCAGCTGTGCCCCCCACTACAGAAAGGATGTGGACAAGATGGAGAGTCCAGCGGAGGGCAATGAAGATGGTTGGGGGCTGGCGGACAGGACTGGAGAGGAGAGGATTTGATAGCAGCCTTCAGCTCCCTGCAGGGCGGTTGCAAAGAGGATGGAGCTGGGCTGTTTTCAGTGGGGCAGATGATGAACAAAGAGCAATGGGCTCCAGCTGCAGCAAGGGAAGTTGAGGTTGGATATTAGGAAAAACTCTCTCATGAGGAGGTGGTGAAGCACTGGACCAGGCTACACACAGAGACTGTAGGATCTCCATCCTTGGAGGTGATTAAGACCCAGGAAGACAAAGCCTTGGCTGGGATGATGCATCTGGGGCTGGTCCTGCTTGGAGCAGGGGTTTGGACTAGATGTGACCTCCTGAGCTCCCTTCACCCCTCATTTTCTGTGATGTCCTGTGAGTCTCAGATACACGCCCGTGGCTGCTCGGGGCTGGCCACGACGAGGTTAACTCCCAGCCCTGTCTGTTGCTCTGCCTCCTTATGAGGAACAGACTTTGCAGGGCTGCAGAAAGGTTCTTTCTTTCCTCCGCGGATCTCTGGGAATGAAAAGTCTGTGTTCCAGATATTAAATTACTCATAAAATATTCGGCCTGTCCCTGAGGCGGCTCGGCAGCCCTCCCAGCCCCCGCCGACCCCTCAGACAGGCTGCCGATGTGCATCTGCATGTCACCTCCTGCTACAAGGTCAATCTCTCCCATTTAAAGCGGCAACGGTGGAAAGCAAACCAGATTTCAGCTGGAATTAGCTTCAAATGGAGCATTCAGGAGACTCATGCTGGGGGAAAAAAGAGTACGGGAGAGGAAAACCAGCTGGAAGGATGCACGGGGTCGAGGGCTCCGGCTTTCACGCTCCGGCTGACCCCCGATAGCTGGACACGGGGCTGGGAACCCGAGGCCGTGCCTTTGCGGCTGGGACGGTGCTGAGCATCACTGAGCCCGTCGTGCTGAGCACGTGCAGGGGTTTGCCCCGCGCCTCGCTGGCTCTGCCAGGCCTCTCCCTGCAGGACCCGTGCGTGGCGGGTTTCTCCGGCCGGCCGGCGGGGCTGGCAGGACCATCTGTGACCTAGAATCCTGCACGGCGGCGGGGGGATGCTGATCTCCCTGGGCTGAGGTTACCATGGGGATGAGCGGCGAACGGCGAGTCCGGCCCACGTGCGGCTCTAGGCGCAGCTCCCCGGCCTTCCTGGCTGTCAGTCTCAGCTCCTTCCGCTCCGTTTCTTGCGCGCCTCCCACCCTCCAGCCTGCACGCGCTTTCCTTTACAGCAGCAGCCTCTGCTCTCGAGCTGGCCAAGGAGGCGCACGGCCATGACAGAGGCACGGCACCTCTTCGCCTGGCTTGGCTTTGCCTGCAAGCCCCCCAGGGCAGGCTGCGGATGAAGCTGGAGTTAGGACTCTGGGGGTTTTCTGTGTCCTCGTCCATCCGGCTGCATTCCCCCATGCACAGGTCCGTGGCCTCTGAGGGGCCGGCTCCAGCCTGGGGGCTGTGATCAAACCCCCAGAGATCCCATTGGGAAGAGTCCACTCCCTTTCCAAGTAGGAAATTGCAGCGCGTGCATGCATCACCAATGGCTTCCCTGGGTTCCCAGGTTTAGGACCCACAAGAAGTCACTGGGAGGATCCTCCAGGCCCCAGAGAGCAATCTGCATTCACCCTCCTGCTCAGCCAGGCACCTGTGTTGTGCGATGTATGCGAGAAGCCTTATTTCAGGGGACCCGGAGCTTGGACTCGATGGTATTCGGGCTCTATGACCTTGGGGGAGTTACAGCCCTCTGCATGCCTCAGTTTGCCCCTCTGTAAAAGG